CCCACCCCGCCCCGGGGTGGGGGTAGGGCTGTAGTCCTCAGATCTGGCTCATAATAAACTCACCTGAAGTTTTGATTCATTGATTATGGGTTATTTGTGTCAGCACCCCTCTGCAAATGGATACACAGTTGATTCTTGGTTTTGGAGCCTGTTCTGTTTTATAAAGCCCCAGTGAACACTGAATTAGTGAAGGCTCCAAGGAGAGTGCTCTTGGGAGAAATGCAGGGTTAGGTTCCCCAGAGCCTCTCTTGACAGCATTTTCATTGATCAGTCGTTAACCTTATTTTACATGTGTTTCTGTTTAAAGATACCTTACTTAATATGTTTGTTGGCCCTAAAAATGAAACAGTTATTTTACCAGAAAAAAAATGGGTTTATTCAGGAACAACAAAGAATTGTAATTTGGGACACAGTCTATGGCAAACCACAGTCAAGTCCAGAGGACAAAGGAGAGGACTGTTGTTTTATAGAGGAGAGGAGAGGAGTTGGGAGGGGCTGTTATAAACTAAGAGTCCATTGGAGGAAACTGGGAGTGCCAAGTATGGTGGCTTTTCATTGGCTGAGTTGTGACAGTCTGTCATTGGCTGGGCCTGTTACTGGGCAAGGAGAAAAGCTTCCTCCTGCTGAGATAGGGAAGTAGGCTGCTTCCTGTTGGGCCTGCAATTGTGGTGGAGTGGTAGGGTGTGACAGCTCCTTCTTCTGGCCTCCAAGTCCATTTTAAATGAGATTTCTGTTTATTAATAAAGTTTCACATATTGTTACTTCATTAACATTGAACTCATGGCCAACAGCACTGTAAGCCATGCCTGAACTCAGCTTCTCTGACACAAGTGTTTTCTCCATAAGCTGCATTGTAGTCTTCTTGTGCTTAGGAAACTTGACAGCACTTGAGCACCAGCTTGGGGGCCATAGTAAACAGGGAAATCACCAACAAAAAGCACAAAAATGTGGAAACTATGGCGCTAAATAGACTGCAAAAAGGACGCTTGTTTACAGTATCAGAGCCGAAACAAGAAAGCAGGTGTCATCTTGTTCAACCTTAGCTGGAAATGTGTTCATCGGCAACTCAAGTTTTTCACCACTCTGCACATGTCTGCAAATAACTGTGGAAACACCAAAAGTATTGATTTTGGAGTTATAAATAAATTTTAGCAAGTAGGCAAATTCACAAATATGGAATCCACAAATAATGAGGATCAACTGTGTGTGTATTTATACATGTATATACCGATTTTCCTTAGTCTTTTTCTGAACCACTTGAAAGCATGCTGTAGACATGATACCCTGTCACCCCTAGATACTCCAATGTGTATTTCCCGAAAGCAGACACTCCTACATAACAACTTTGCAGCCATCCACATGAGGAAGTCAGTATTGAAACAATATTAAGGTCCAATCTGCAGACCCCATTTGAATTTTACAAACGGCATCAACAATGTCTTTTTTCCGTTCTGCTCCAGGATCCCATCCACCATCACAGGTTCAGTCTCCTTCAAGTTGGGGCAGATCCCTGGTGGTTCCTGTCCCTGACAGTTTTTATTAAAGATCACAGACTTTTCATACATAAGGATGACTCTCAAGGTCCATTGATGTTTCCTCAGGACCAGACTCAGGTCATATTTTCTTGGTAGGAATACCACAGAAATGGTGCTGTGCTCACTGGGGGCACAGAATTGCAACCCATCCTACCGTGGGTAATATTAATCTTGGTCACCTAGTCATGTTGATGTCTGCTAGGTTTTTCCATTTTTTCATTTTTAAATTGGTTAGTATTTTGTAGGGAGGTATACTGCAATGCCACCATTATCTTATTCTTCATCAACCTCCACCTGTCAACCTTAACCTCTATCAATGACTGCTGCCTGAATCACTATGATCATTGCCAAACAGTGCTTTTTAAAATTTCCATCGTTTCTTCCACAGTTATTAGCTGGGAGAGATTTCTCTTCTTTGTTTATTTTTTGTTCAGTTATTTATATCAATATGGACTGGTGGATTTCTGTTTTATTCAGTGGGTAGAATTCTGTTGCTATCATTATTTATTTTGCTGTTCAAATCATCCCAGTTTGGTCAGTGAGAGCCCTTTCAAGCTGGCTCCTAAGTCCTTTCGACCTGTCACCGTCTGTCTTTACAGCCATCTGTACTGCTGGCACAGGATGTTCCAAGCTCATTTTGTACTCCTCTTGCCCCAGCCCTGGAATCAGCCATTTCTCCAAGGAGCATTGTTTCTTTTTAGTGGATGATGGTATTTAGAAACCAAGATTTGAGTGTCTGGTGTGCTTATTGCTGCTAGGGTATCATTGCGCCTAGGCCCTCTCAGTGGGCACAGGCCAGGAAATACATGTATATGTGTCTATGTATACATATACATAGACATAGACAATCTATAATTATGTCTGTATCTATTTTTTAAAAAACAAATCCATATTTTTACCTTCAATTCCAATCCAAAACCTCAGGGTTCTTTGTAACCTTCTCCCTGTCTGTGTTTGTAAATACCTTCTCCAGCAGTAAGAAGCCTGGCTTTCATTATCCTCAATATATTTTCTTACTTTCTCAGTCAATTTATTTATTTGCTTAATGTAACCAACCACTCCGGCCATCACCTCCATCTGCTACCCTTGTGCCCACCCCCTCAGCAGCCAACACCTTGAGGAAGGGTAGGCACTCTGCCTCCACAGGACTCCTCCTCCTCCTCCCTTCCTCCAGTTGGTCAAAATCCAATGCCAGTCAAAGCCTTTAATTTTCTTCCAGGAGGATTTTTTTTTTTTAAAGAAGAGTGTTTACTAAGGAAGTATAAATACAAATACAAGCCTTTAAGATTTTTATTATTATTCATGGGTCAAAACTCACGTATGTATTATTATTATTAAATACCCTAGTATAGAACTTTAATATCTCAGGCCTTTTTTTTTTTTTAAACTTTTATTTATTATTTTTTTTAATTTTTATTTATTTATTTTTCCCCCAAGGCCCCAGTAGATAGTTGTATGTCATAGCTGCACATCCTTCTAGTTGCTGTATGTGGGACGCGGCCTCAGCATGGCGGGAGAAGCGGTGCATCGGTGCGCGCCCAGGATCTGAACCCGGGCCGCCAGCAGCAGAGCTCGCACACTTAACCGCTAAGCCATGGGGCCGGCCCTCTCAGGCCTTTTGATAAATACAAATATCCATTACCTTAATGCTATAGGAACTCAAAATTTCCAAAAGTCAGTTAAGAATGTTAAATAACCAGAGTGTTAAAATATAATTAAATTAATCAATTACTATCAGAAAAATGGGTTAGATATTACCTTTTCCTGTAAACTTTATCCCAAATGTTGAAGTGAAAAGTCTTCTTTAGATTCATGTATTCCCAAATGATCTGGGCCTTACTAGAACCGATTGTAACACACTTAAAATGTAAAGTTTTATATTATGTTTACATTAAGCTTTAATTACTGAGTTTTAAAGCAAAAATCCATATTCTTGTGTAAAATGAAATATGCCGTGCCCCAAATTCATAATTTTACGTTTTGTAGTATATTAATTTCTTGTTGCTGCTATAACAAATTACTACAAGTTAAGTGGCCTAAAACAACACAAATTTATTATATTACAATTCTGAAGGTCAGGAGTCCAAAATGTGTCTCACAGGCCTGAATTCAAGGTGTTGACAGGGTAGTGTTCCT